TAGTTATTAAATCAATATGGGTTTCGACTAAAAACCATACCCATGATTTAATCGAGAAATTAATTGTCTAAAGGATTTTACATGTATGCAATTGTAATTGAAAAGGTTTACTCGCTATTCACTTAATACTAGGTGATCATACTACTTGCTAGGTGTTCCCATGATTTGTGGATTCTTGAAATTAAGGGGTTAATTTCAAGAATAAGAATTAATATGATTAATTCAAATTACAAGTAAGTTGTAAGCCCACTACTAGTATTAATAGTGAACCTAAAAGGTCACACTAATTTTTGAATGAAAGCAAGTTAAAGTGATATTTCTAAAGAGTTAGAATTAATTGACAAGGATTAATTAAATAATATGATTATTTAATTAATTATCTAATTATGAATTAGATGTCAATTAAAGGAAATTAATTAATTGTATTGATTAATTAGATTTTAGATATTAATTAAGTAATTTATGTAATTACTAAATTAATAGTTGGATTTTAAAATATGATTTTAAAATTTAAATCCAAATAATAATATGATTATTATAAAGAGGATATTATTATATATAATTGGGAGAAAAGATTATGTTAATAAAATATTGAAAAATGTTTTCAAGAATTATTATTTTATCTTTAATATGATTAAAGATAAAAATAATGAAAAGACAAAATAATTGTGGTAGATGGTGGTTATGAGCCACTTCACATAATTAATTAAAAGTCAATATTTAGTATGATTATTTAAATAAAATCTGATTTTATTTAAAATAAAATAATTAACAAATGTTGATTATTTTATGCTAAAATGTTTAGTATAAATAGGAGCAAAATGTTTGCACATATGTGCTAAGTCTTGAAATTTTTCAAGAGTTGAAAAAGAGAGAATATACTTGAAACAAATTGCCAATAATCAGAAAAAACACAACCGCAGAGGACGCCGAAACCTAACCAGAAAAAACCCCAAATCCGCTCGTTCCTTCTCGTCACATCTCCGCCTTCGTCAGCCTTCCACAGTCGTCGCTGGGCTTAGCCGGCGGTCTCTGGCCCTTGGCCGTTTGGTTCCCGCCCCCAATTTTCCGCTCATCTTCCGCGCTCCATGGAGTCGGGCTTCGCCTCATGCGATGGGTCGTTGCTTTTTCCAGCGCCGGCGCATCAATTCCGTGCGGTGGCCTCTCTGTTGGAGGGAGGTAGAGCCGTCGTGTTGTTCTCGGGGCGGGACACGTCTCAATTGCTCGACTTCCTCCTTGGTCGGGTGGTTGGGGCGTCGTTGATGTTCGAGGCCGTCTCCCTCTGTTCTCGGCGTCGAGTTGCAGAGGTCGTCGTGTTTCTTCTTTCGGCCAGTGGTGTTGGCTGGAGAGGCGATGTGACGGTGCGGTGGCCTTGGTCTGATTCCAAGTGGTTCGGGGTCGGGTGCTGCGGTCGCGGCACCCTTTTGTCCGTCCAGGGCATTCGGGTGTGGTGGTCGTGGAGTGGAGTGACTTGGTGCTATTTCGGGGTTTGGGTTTCGACACCGTTAGGCCACCGAGTGGTTTGGGCAGTTTCGGGGCCGGTTCTTCAAGCTGCGGGATTCTCAATTGTTTCGTTTTCGCTAGTTCGGTTTGGTGTATCTTCTTTGGAAGGGCTCGTTTTCTTTGGGTTGTTGTTTTGTTTTGTTTGGTTGTTTCGTTTTTATGCTCCTTTGTTTTGTTTGTTTGTTTCGTTAGGTCTCGTGTTTTTGGTATGAGCCGTTGGCCTCAGTGTTGATTCTCCTGTTGGGAGCTAGTAGATTCTCTTGTTGGGAGCTTCGTAGTTATTTTGGTAGTTTTTGTTGTGTTTTGTGTGTTGAGATTTTAGCGTTGCTAGTGTCGGATTTAGCGGTCTTCGGACCAGTCCTCCCAGTTTATTCAGCTTTTGGCTGCGGCTCTAAGTTGTAATTTGCACGTTTGTGCGTTTTGATCTATAAAATTTTTTGTCGTTTCGGGAAAAAAAAAAGAAAAAGAGAGAAAAAGAAGAATAGTTCTTCAAGATAAAAGTTTAAGAAAGAGTTCTTAAATAATAAAAAGAAAAAAAAAATTATCTCCCAATTAAAATCCTCTAATTAATATTCCTATATCAAAACCGATACTTTTCTACTAGCGAAGAAAGAGGTTATTGGTGTTAGATTTCAAAAGGTGGACTCGATTAGAGGGAAGACACTTGGATTCCTAAAGCGAGACGAGTTCAAACTGGAAATTGATTTCCACAAACAACGACGAGGAGGAGATAAAAAGGTAATTTTCGAAATTATCTTACAAATCAAAATTAGTAAAAGTTACTAGATTTTAAATAATGCTTATCCGTTATATCGTTATACTTATGTACGAAATAAGTATTTATGAGATAAATACTTATAAAATTTTAAAATTCCGCTGCGTATTTTGATCTGTATAGTATAGCGAACCTAACAGAATTTATGCAAGTCACAGATTGTATATGAATTAACCCTAAGCGCAGGGGAACTAAATGTCAGGGTTGAAATCGTACCATTTAAAATGTTCATAGTCTCTGTACAGACATACACGGCATACAGGGCCGGACCAACGGTTCTGAGATGATCTTATCACCTCGTCCCGATGGGTTTTATGAGGAACGTTGACAAAGTGCACATCCAAACTTATTAAAAATAAATCCTAATGTGACAAAATTTATAGTTAGGATTAGGAGTGAGCAAAACCGAGTCGAAACCGGAAAACCAAACCTAACTGTGCAATTCAGTGCGGTTCATTTCGGTTTTTTAATGTAAAAAAGTTTTCAGTTCGGTTTCGGTTTCATTTTTTGTACATTGCGGTGCGGTGCGGTTATAGTTTTTCATAAGTTCAGTTTTTGATTTTGTTCAGTTTGGTGTGGTTTTGCACCGAACCACACCAAATTTCATAAAATGCATAGAAAAACCGATATAAAACTGAACCGTGCATTTCGGTGCGGTTCGGTTCGGTTATTTTATTGTAAGAAATTTGGTTCGATTTCAGTTTGACTTTTTTTTATGATGCGGTGCGGTTCGGTTAATTTTTTTGCTAGGTTCGACTTTCGGTTTTATGCGATTTTTCACCGAACAACACCGTTGCTCACCCCTAGACTTACAGTTTAAAATTTTGCCGACTTTGTATAGACATAAACGGCTTATGGGACCAGATTAACGATTATAAGACTTGTTCTCTAGCCCAGGTTCCTCGTTGCACGTCCTTCTGAGTCGTGGAATCGCCTCATCGGATCGCCGATCGTAGCTCCTCGGAGTCGCACGTTGTTGTTGGGTTGTCGTAACTTGCCTGGTGTACGCTGATGTCATCCCATGCAAGCTGGTGTCAGCCCAGGCTGTTGGTGCCGGAGCATCGCAGTGGTCGCGCGAAATGTACGCTGGTGGCACGAAAATGTAAACGGGTTCACGCATGTGGTGCGCGGGTTGTGCAGGTTCATCTGCTCCGTACGCACGGTCATCTACTGCCTGCGCGCAGTGTTGGCGGGCTGTGCGCGGTCGTTGGCGAGCTATGTGTGTTTGATTGTGGGTTGTGCGCAGATCACCTACAGTGGTGCGTGGGGAACTGGCGGTGGCAAGTGAGGTTGCGACTGGTGAAGCTGATCATGGCTGTGGTTGCGTTTATCTGTGGTGGTTGTGCTCTCCAAGTTCTTTGTTCTGAGGTGTCGCGGTGAAATATATATTCACCACGATGCATAAATAAGACCTAGGTATCTTATGTTGTATGACTTTTACTCCTTCGATTAGTCTGGTTGCTGCGACTAAACTGAACTCGCAAAGCCTCTCGATTTCTCGCCTAAGACCTCTCAACTTTATTCAAATTTTCTCAAAAAGAAAAGAATTGAATCTCACGTTAAATCTTATGTGTGGAACTCTTATGATGGAGGCCTAGACTTTGTATATTTATACGCTACAAGAGGGACCCTAAATATGTGTTAAATATGGATTTTTCAAGTGTGAACACAACTAGTGGGCACATGCCCAACTCTGCATACTCATTTGATTAATAGAACATTTCACTAAAGTAATATTATTGTACTTCCTATTTAACTCCGAATTACAATTTATTCGTATCTTGGTGAATTTCTCGGTTTACCTCTCTATGTTTAAGATATAAAACGTCTGTTGATTAATTTTATTACTGACATACTAACTAATCAACTTCTTGAACCGATATTGAAACCGCTCAATAATTTATCAGTATGTCGGAAATTAATCTGCCGGCCGAACTTGGCATAATAATTCCTCTTGAGCTCATTTCGGGGACGTCATCAACCCAACAAATCGGGACACATAAACAATCTTAGCGGCACATCATGCACTTGGCATTATTTACCAAAACACAGAGTATATTGACCTAACAAAATAAGTTTAACCCATAATAAATCAAATAAATAAGTACCAAATACATATGCCCATTTATCGTCTTATGTGTTGATAGAACACAACAATTGTTGAGGTCTAGATAACTTACTTGTCAATATAAAATAATATTATCTTCTTATAGACCCATTCAATATATCGTTACTCAAAGATCAACTAACTCGAAAATCACACTACAACTTTTCACAAAAGTTAGTTCAGTTCTATATGGGTTGTGAAAAAGATTTTTATTTCGCAAGGCACAAATAATATGATCTTTCTGTTCAACCCATTTCAAATCATATTATCTATAATGTAAAACAGGAATTATGTTCTCATAAATAAATAAATTACGAGCATTCACTTGACTAAAGATACATTTCTCATTCAAAATGGATTTGGGAGTACTTACAAAGCCGAACTTCTACAGTATACTCTAACAATCTCCTACTTATACTGTAAAACTATTGGATTTTATAAGTGTACACTCTTTCAATCTCTATTCTCAGAGAATTGTTGTCCTAATAGTCAAGAAACTACTATAACATGAACAGCAAAACATACAAATTGATGAGATTGTAGATTTCAAGGGAACTAAAAAGAGAATGTGTCAATCAAATTTCACATTGAACCAAAAATCCAGTACAAGTTTACTTATAAAACTTTCAAGAGCTGGACTTCAAAAATCAATGGCTCCTTTGCGTGAGACAAAAGGCTACGCCGAGGACCAAACTGCACGCAAACAAAAGCACATACCACATGATAATTGCATACTGATAGTTGGTTTTACTACATGCAAGATTAAAATGACTATCATCAAAATTAAAGACACGACACTAGAAGAGATATAATTTGAAGTTCAAAGGACTAAAATAAAACAAAAAGGGACCTCTTCGGGAATTGGCTGTAAAGTGTCGCTGATATATCCTAGTGAAGGTGGTATCAAAGCTCTTCTCTTTCCTGAAGTGTCCATTACATTTCACAAGTTCAGAAAATTTACATAATTTCCTAAGAAGATATATCGAGAGATATAGAACTTGTATGCTTGACAAAAATTTTTAGCATCAGTTGTCAGAGGATAAAGGTTGAACTAACCTCCAACCTTCATGCCAACCAAAACCTCCTGTAGGCCTCTAATTATCTGTGCGTGTCCAAAGGAAAGTATAATCATGCTCAATAAATTATCAAATTTAAAAGTAAAGGAAAATGGATATGGCCACTCGTAGATATGTATACACTAACATTTATAGGGGGAAATCGTCTTGTTTTTCCTAAACAGTTGATTCACTATCTCCCGAGAACACGCTGTAAAGTAATCCTCTTGGTTGGGTCCAAAGAAAAGCTATCTTTGTTGATTTGTTTTTAAGTTGATACATTACTTTTCAGAAATAATTAAAGAATCAAATCTTAAAAAGGCTGCATTAAAATGAGAGTTTTCCCCATTGTAAAATACCACACACCAGCTTGGTAACCTCACATTATTTTTAATTATGATAACATGAAGCAATTTTGATCCATTGTTCAAATATTGTTTCAGATGAAGGTAGAACTAGACAGTACAGCAATGGGACCAACACAATCATTCGGCAACACCATTTTACGCATTTTGTACTCTTTCAAGAAAGTATTAACTATGCTAACCTGCTCACCATTCAGAGTTAGTATAACAGGTGAACTTTCTCCGCTAAACTGATCCACAGTGCTGCAAGGAAAATATCATGTCAAAGTTCAAGAACATCAATAATAATGCCAAAATATATATATATATATATATATATATATATATATTTATTACGATTTCGAGATGGAAAAACGTTTGATCTATTGTTATACCTGTGCACAAAATATCCATTTGACCTGCGACATACGTAATTAAATTCGATTGTGTCTCCTTCAAGAGCTTCCTGGCCTTGTCCTTCAACGATATCTGGGACAGATATTTTAAATTACTGATAAATGAACAAATCGGCATACATCCTGTGATAGCTCAAAGTTCATAAACTTTTCTCAATAATGAAGGAATAAATACTAGGTGAAAACCCCATTAACCCCATGAATATACAAATTCTAAATCCTAAAATCTGGATATAATTTACCTTGTATCCTCACTCCACTGGCAAGCTTTATCGTCCTGGATGCTTCAAAACCCGAGCAGCAATTGTGCATAAGAACTGACTCAATTGCATACGAAATATTTTTATATTAATAGGTCCAAGAAGCATGTATACCTAAGCACTTCCGGTTCCTTCATATCCTGAATCGGGGCCGCGAAAACAGTATTTGCAAAGATCGAATTTACTCCCAAAAGCCGCAAAAGCACCCTCCTTTGAACTTTATCCAATGCAAGAGAACAAGTTCCACGCCCCATGTTCCTTTCAGCATAAACCTTGAGTTCCTTTGTTATCCTAAAACTGCTCGTCTTCAAAATATGACCGAAATGAAATAACACAGAACAGTGTAGTTACTTTAACTATGGCAAATTTGCAATGAGATCCATGGCTATATCACTAATCAACTGCAGTAAATCCTTCCTGAAAGAGCTAAACTGGCTAATTGTAAACGAAAATTCCCTCATCAGCACAGATTTCATCACACAAAATGTGTGAACTTTCAATTGGTTGTTTAAAAATTAAATCCTAATTGCTATCAATAATTATCATCACAACAGCAGAGGACGTTTTGAATAGTAAATCAACTTAACTATGGATAGCATAAGTAAAACCCCTAACGAAAAAACGAAAATTTCTAGAGAAACAGAAAAAAAAAAACACACATACACACACACACAAACAATCAACTACGAAAAGAAGCATGATGTCACCTCGAGATGAGAGGAAATTGCAGAGGGGTTTGAAATGCATGAACCGCCATTGTTGAGATGGGTAGCTTCAGTTGAGAAGAGCAGAAGAGGAAAACAAGCAGGGAAAGGTGAAGATTTTAGCTATTGAGGAGGGATTATATTGTCGAGATTCTCTCACGATCCTAATACAAATTTTCGTGGCTTGTATTTTATTTATTTTTTTTAGGAGTGGCTTGTATTATTTGTAATTATGAATACATCTTATACAACTCTTATTAAAATTTTAAATATATATCCCCTCCCCTATATATTAATACAGAACGCGCTAAGCCTACGTGGCTGTTTCTGGTGCTTCGTAATCCTATGTGGCAAAATTACATGCTTCGTTATTAGGCTTGGGTAAGTTTTAATTTAATTCCAAACCAAAAACAATTAGGTTCGGATTACCATAAATATGTTGATTATTTATGGTCATGTTACATGTATTAATTGTATTTTAATATCATTCCTTATTATAACTATTGAATTGTATATATATTTTAAAAGTTAATAACTTTTGTATTTTTTATCAGTTTTACATATGTAATATATCAAATTAATCTTCTTTTGATAAGCTTCGATTTAACATCCATATTGTATGTATAAAAAAATAATTTATATTTATCTTTATAACAATAAAAAAATTATTTTTAATATTAATTAGAAAAATAAAATTATTTATCAACTAATATATTTATATTTCAATTAGTTATATGATATAAGTTATAAAAACTAATCCTCCCTATATATAATTCCAGAATGCGCTGAGCCTACGTGGCTGCTTCTGGTGCTTCGGAATCCTATTTGGCGAACAATCATGCTTCGTAATTAGGTTTGGACAAATAATATTAATATATTAATAATTAATAATTAATAATCTAGGTTCGGGTATTCCATAAATATTATATTAATATATTAATAATTAATAATTTAGGTTCGGGTATTCCATAAATATTATTTAGCCAACTTAGGTATTTTAATATCAATTGTACTAGTATAACCCTTTAATTCTTTGTAATTTTACATAGTGAGACACTAAGTGACTAATATATCCCTGAATTTTGATTTGCTTCCTTCAATAAGCTATTGAATTATAAATGTATTTTAAAAGTTGATAACTTTTGTATTTCTTATCCATTTTACATATATAATATATCAACTTAATCATCGTTTTATAATCTTCGATTTGACATTCATATTGTATGTATGAAATAAATAAATTATATTTATCTTTATAATAATAAAAAATAATAATATTTATTAAAATTCATTAGAAAAATAAAATTATTTCTCAATTGATATATTTATATTTAATTTAGTTATATATTTTAAGTTAAAAAAATAATATAATATAACACAAGTAAGTCGCACAAATAACAAGTGTCATAATAAATATATACTAATATATATATTTTTATAAAAGGTAATTAAATTTTCAAACTACTTTTTCTCATTAATTTTAGATTTTAAGAATAATGTATCTAGCAAGCACCCGTGTAATACACGGGTGTTGTACTAGTTAAAAAAAAAAAAAGTGTTAGACATGTGTCTAATACACTACTCGTATTTTTTAGTACAAGCATGTGGCAAAAAATGGAGTAAAAATTGCTTAACCAATATTTTCAATTCTCTTGCCCAATTTTTTGGCTTGAGCTCAATTTGGCTACCAATTTTGATCTATGTCATCTTGGTCACTCGGGGTTAAGTGATTTGATCCTGACCGTTTTTTAACCTCTTTAAAATCCTATCAGATGTCCATTTGGAAAGGGATCCTAATTTTTGGTTTCCTTGCTGCTCTCTCATCTGACTAGAGATGTTAAACGGTTTTTAGCCCGACGAGCCGGCCCGTTTAGCCTGAAAAAAAATAGGGTTAGGGCTTTTTTTTAGTAGCCCGTTTAAATCAGGGCTTTTTAGGCCCGAACCCTTTAAACCGAAACCTGATAGGGCTAGTCCGAAGCCCACTAGGGCTAGCCCGTTTAATTTGTATATTACAACTTCACTATTCTACTTTATATATAACTATGAGTTGTAGCGAGTTATTATGGGGGTGATTGTTTATGGTTTCTATAGTAAAAAAAACTAATCAAAACTCAAATTTAACTCAACTTTAAGTCAACTCCAATATCTCTCATATTATCAATATAATTAAATATTATCAACCAATTATTATTATACATCACATCAACTTTAATTCACTATTCATCCACTCACATAATTTTAACTTACTATCACTTTCAATCATTTTTCTCCTACTTTACATCAAATCAACTTTAATTATTTTATTTATATATTATTTTAACTAGTGTATATCCCGTGCGATGCACGGAGGAGCTCATGTTTTAAACCATTTTTAGACTTTATTTTAAATATAATTATTTATATTTTTCACATCTCGTCTATCATAAAAATAAAATAAATACAAACAATGAAAAATATATATTATTAAACACCTCTCTTTATATATTATTTTTTATTTAAATAATATTATTAAACTTACAGACTTACAGTTTTAATTTTTTTTTTTAATCAATTATTCAATATATGATTGTTAACGTACAGAAAATAATGGAAAGAATCCAGACTTTAAAGTAAATTTATTTTTTATTATTTTACATATAAAAATCATCCCAATTTTTTTAATTCCAAAAAAATTTGGTAAGTTTGTTAAAGAGTTAAATCAGGTTATACAAATGATTAAATAGTTAAAATATTATATTAATTATATTTTAAGAATTCGATTATATAAATGTGAGTAAAAAATATTATACTAATTAATTAATTTGTTAGGATTGTGATTATATAAAAGTTAAGAAAAAACGAAATGTAATAAAATGAAATATAACTAAAAAAAATCTATTCGTGGTCTTTTCCTTTAAATATTTGAATTTAAAAATCTAATAACCAAATTTAGATTATATCACATAAGAAAAAAATAAATAATAATATTTATGAATATGTTCAAAAAAATTATTTTGAATTTCAAATAGAGTAGAAGATGGTATAATTCAAATTAGTTTTCAAAAAGATTTTAAACTGTTTAATATTCTGGTAAGTATACCCGTATGATTAATCTTACTATTTTAATTTAAATTTTTTTGGTAAGTTTGCTAATAAGATAAATTCAGTTAGACAAAAGATTAATTAATTAAAATATTATATTAATTACATTTTAAAATTTCCAGTTAGGTAATTGTAATTGTATTAATAGTTTATTAGGAAAGTTATTATATGGAAGTTAAGATAAAATAAAATGTACCCATTTGTGATCTTTTCCTTTAAATGTTTGAATTTAAAAATATGATAACCAAATTTAGATAATGTTAATTATGATAACCAAATGTTTAATATTCTGGTAAGTATACCAAGTAATAATGTTAATTCTAATTCCGTTGGTCTCCCAAATCGCCGTAACCTAGGTCTCCCAAATCGACCAAATCGTTCACCTCTCTCGGCGTCAATTCGGCGTGCCGGCGGGCTGCGCTCAGTCGCGCTTCCACGTCGCTTGCGTCATCTCCTCTTTTCTCTCTCGGGCTACGGGGCTAGGATGGCGTTTTTCTGGCGGATTTCGTCAATCCGTGTCAGAAGAACCGCCGGAGCTCCATGGTGGAGAGGCTTGGAGGAGTGCGTCCTGCGACTGGAAGCGGCTCGTGCTCTGCGTCGCTCCCTTTCTGGCCCCCTTTCCAGTCTTTTTGATGGGCTCGGCTCCCGAGGTGCGTGGTTCTGCAGGTTTTCACTCCGGTTCTCACCGGAGTTTTGGTGTGGCTGTGGAAGTCGGTGGTCCATCACTGGGGTCTGGTTGGGGTGGTGGATTTTGATACTTGGTCGGAGCGGCTCTCTTGCTGGGCTGGAAGGGATCCCCGTAGGCGGGGCTTCGATTTTGGCCGGAGCTGGGCTTCTGGTACTTCAGCTTGCTGGGGTGTTGGGCCGGGTTTCATCCTTTCGGGCTTGGTGTTCTGATGGTTGTGTCGGACTGGGTTCGGTCCTTCAGGCTGGGTTGGTGCAGTTGAGCTTTGAAGTCATTCATCCGCTTCCTCCTCCTTCTCGGTTTTCTGAGGTTGTGGGAGGCCGTCCGCCTCCGAAGTTGGCTAGTGGTGTTAGACAATTTTGGGACGGGTTCGGATTGGCTAGTGGTGTTAGCCGATTGGGGGACGATTGTGATTTCTTGCGATTGGTGTGCGGGTCTGTTTCTGGTTTGTTCTGAGGCTTGGGTAGTCGTCTTGCTAGGCCTTCTGCAGTGGTGGGCGTCGTATCGGAGCTTCGGAGCTCTCCTCGGAATTGGACCTTGTCTGCTGTCTCTTCTGTTTGCTTCTGCTGAGGGAGGGTGTTTGTCTTATTTTTAGTTTGTAGTTTTGTATTGTGTGTTGTGCTGCTTGTGTTTGTATTTTTGGTTTGGGTCTTTGACCCCTGTGAGCCCGAGTGTCAAATTGATTACTCTGTTGGGGTCCGATACTCGGGTATTACCCTGTTGGGGTCTGTGTAGTTGTTGTAGTGGTTTGTGTTGTTGGTTAGTTTAGTTGTGAGTGTTTTTA